TGTAATCCAGACTCCCTTCAATATATCCACTATGTCCAGCATCTAGTCAAAAGTTCCTAGGCATGTGAAATAAAGATTCACAATAAAAAGTAGGAATATATGACACATAATCAAGAATTTAAAAATCAATCAGTAGAAACAGACCTGAAGATGACTTAAATGTTGAAATTAGCAATCAAAGATTTTAAAGCAGCTGTTCAAATATGTTCAGATACTGAAAGGGAAAAAAATAGTCATAATGGTTAAACAGATGGAGAAAATAGAAACTTTATAATGAATAAAGTAAAAAAAGGGTAGGGGGTACACTAGAAGAGGTCAATGGGGAAAAAGAAGGGGACATATGTATTAGTTTCAACAGTAAAGGTTTTTTAAAAAAACGTTCATACTGAAATGCTTAATATCTGTAATGATAAACTTACTGGATGGAAATTTACAGAAGAAAGGGTTATGGAACCTGAAGACAGATAAATACAAATTATACAATGTGAAATACTAAGGATTTAAACCCTCCCAACCTATCATCCTTTCCCCTCCTTCCCCATAATCATCTGTGAAAAATAGACAAGTTATATTCAAAAGGTAGGCGGTAATCTGGCTTCAGATTTCTTGGCAAAACAATATGATAAAAATATGGGACAGTTTGAGTTTTGAGGAGATAGAGTTGTGAGCTGGGACTTTTGCATATTACTAGATTTTCTCTGATGCATGTTTTTCTTTATTTTTAGCTAAACAAAAGTTTGAAATATTTGTATATTATAGTTCATCTCAACTGTATAAATAAAAATGGATTTTAAAAGGAACTGGCAGGAAATATGCAAAAATGTTGCTTCTTGATTATGGACGTTCATGAGGACCTTATTTTCTGTTTCTCTATATTTTCCAAATTTCTGTAAGGAACACATAATTCAAAAAAGTTTAAAGATGAAATGCATGAGTGTAGGACAACAGAAAGAAAATGATAATCTGGTACTGCCTATGAATCTATTAATTGAGACTGTCATTTTTCATCTAAAAAGTCTCTGTGCATTGAAAAATGAATTTAACCTTTAAAATATTTTGGAAAGAAGATTAAAAACATTATCCTGAGTGAAAGATTCCTTACATAAGAGTTTATACCATGATTTCATGTATATGGAGTTCTACAATAGGCAAAATTGATCAATGGTGGAAAAAGCATCAGAACAGTGGTTGTTTATGGGGACGAAGGCAAAAATTGGTTGGGAAGGAATATGTGTGTCCTTTTTGGGGTGGTGATAAAGTTATATATCTGCTATGATTTTGAATTACATGGTGTATACATTGTTAAAACTTAGTGAATATACATTTAAGATTTGTGCACTTACATGTAAATTTTATATCAAAAGAAAAATACTGTCAACAAATATGTTTGGCAAACATACTGTTTTGTAAAAATGTAGAAAGTCTAAACTATTCCTTGCTGGCTTTGTCTTCATAACCCACAGTCTTAGGATAAGTATTCCAACCAGAGATAGGTATAAATTAGTACATTGTGCTTGCCTCTGTTAGTAGTACTGGCTACGTTGCTTTGGAGTTATTTGTTTCCTGTAATGGACTGTAAGCTCCTGGAGGCCAGGAAACCCCTGCCTTCTGACAAATTACTGGCATGTGCCCAGTAAGTATTTAATAGATCAGTAAGTTTCACTCTGCTCCTCAAAACTCTTAGTTCTGTATCTATTTTTATAATATTAATTAATAGCTATACTTAACACTAAACACTATAGGTTAATCTTTTAATTTCAAGTTCTATATTCAAGGAGATTGCTTAACATTATATGCAAACATAACAGCAATGTTGCTTAAATGTCTTTTGATTGAGTTGGTGGTCTGGTTGTGGGTCTCCAGTTGCAAAGTGTTTTATGAAGAAACTAGAGGCCCGGTGCACAGATTTGTGTACTGGGGGGTGGAAGGTCCCTCGACCTGGCCTGCAGCGATCGGGCTGAAACTGGCTCTCTAACATCCCCCGAAGGGTCCCGGATTGTGAGAGGGCAGTTCTCGGGTAATGCACCCCGAAATCGGGCTCCCTCCTCTCTGGTTCTGGGTGCATCACCGAAAAACCACAGCTGCCAAGTCACCACAGCGTGGCAGCTTCTGCATTGAGCGTCTTTCCCCTGGTGGTCAGTGTGCATCATAACTACCAGTCAGAACATCTGCCCCCTTGTGGTCATTATGCATCAGAGCTACCGGACAGTCAGAGGGTCACTTAGGCTTATATATATATATATATGTGTGTGTGTGTGTGTGTGTGTGTGTGTGTGTGTGTGTGTATTTAAAAAGCCAGTGTCAGGACAACCAAAGGACCGGTTACCATAAAGTACATTGAGCACCTCTCAGTCCCTCCCCCGTGGCCCACAGGCTCTGATCGCAGCAAGGTGGGTGGTGGGCAGGTGGGGCAGCAAGCAGGGCAAGTAGTGGTGGGTGGGTGGGCGGGGCAGTGCAGGCAGGTAGGCGGGGGTGCGAGCAGCAGCAGACTAGCATGCGCAATTTCGCGCACTGGGCCACTAGTATATAGATAATGGACTTCATAGTTCAATCATTTTGTGACATAGTAAAGTTACTATATCCAGAAAACCTGCCTCCTCATTTTTGTGTGTAGTCTTACCTCTATATAAAATGTTGAAAAATAAGACCAACTGAAGCATTTGAAGGCTGGTTAGTTGTATTCCATTCTTTACATGTTATAGAAACCAAGTGGTGCTAGACCTAATAAATGAATAAATAAATAAATAGAAAAAAAAACTTTTATGGGAAGGGTTAACTTCTTAAACTATCTGAAAAATTATATGGAAGAATTTCTAGTAGAAATCCTAAAAGAGATTAAAAGCATATGCTTAGTTACTTGGAATATTACCATAGAATTAGAATAAAGTAACATTGGGTTATTTATAATGTCAAATGAATTGTTCATCTGTATAGCATTTTATAGTTTATGGAAAAAGTATATTCCATTTGCTTATTATTAAATAACTAACATCAAATCCATACTATATATATTATGCTCAGTGCTTTGCTTTCATTATCTTATGTAATCCTCAAAGCTATGAAATTAGCCTTATTATCTACATTTTACAGAGGAGGAAATTTAAGGTTTAGAGAGGCAGAGTGATTGGCTTAAGGTCATCTACCTACTAATTGGTTGAAGTAGATTCAAACTCAGATTTATTCTGATTCCAAATCCAGTTCTAATTGCTACATTTTACACTTCCACATTATTTAAACTAGTTATTGAATTTTTTTTAAGAAATGCTTGTTGTGGACTTAATGTACATACCCTCTGAGTTAATGAATTAGTCCTGTTTCCTATCCTGAAGGTGCTTTCAATTTAGGGACCTTGCTGCTCTAAGTGTGGTTCAGAGACCAGCATCAGCATCAGCATCTTCTGGGAGTTTGATAGAAGTGCAGAACCCCAGGCCCTCGCCCAGGTACAGGATCAGAATCTGATTTAACAAGGCCCCCAGCTGATTCTTGTGCACTTTCAAGTTTGATCAGCACTAGTCCAGAGACTTAGAATAACTTGATCAGATCAGCATGGTGGGGTCGGAGGGGCATCCACATCATCTGATTCTAACAAGAGCATCTTTAGACTGTAACAGACTTATTTTTCTGCTTCACGTAATATGTGGATGGTATTAAGTGAAAACATTGACATTCATTCATAATGTTTAATATCGCATTTTAGAAGATGGTTTTGGGGTATAATGTCTTCTAATTTTAATGGAATTGGATATTAAATACAATAGCAACCATTTATATGAGGTCAAGTAACCATAGATTTCATTTGGCTATTTTAGTTTTCTATTGCATTTTATTTTTTAAATGAAATTAAGTCTGGGTGAATGTGGGAAAAGACTGATTCATATATTTGACCCATTGTTGTTTTTTAAAGGATGCTGATTAGATTATGAAGCTTAGAAGTGAAAACTATTCCATACCCCTCCCCACCCCCAATCCTTTCCCAGTTTCCCTAATGCCTCTTTCCTAACACTGGATTTGTCATTTTTTTAGATGTGGAAGTATGTTCTATGACTGGATTTCTCTTTGTTTACTGGCGCCCTTATGGACTAGCAGGGTCTGTGCTTTAAATATCTTCTAACAGTCCAAAATTTAACCTGATATACGCACTCATGTATTAACAAACATACTTTTTTAAAATTTCACGTAGGAAGCACTATTCTGTTTCGCATGCACTGGCACTAACATAATAGATACAGTTAAACAGCTCCTAACTTTAAATCACTTCCTAGATGAATGCAATAACTAATTTTGAGGATGGAAAGTGAATTCCAATAAGTTTATATGCAGGCTTTTCTATTATTCTAATAAAGTAGAAATCAAAATATCTGTAGTTTACATTTTTGTAAATACTGTAATTTTAGACTGAGCATGACTTTGTTTTGTTTTGGGATTTTTTTAATTTTTTGTGTTTGTTCTTTTTTGCTGAAATGTAAATAGAGGTGTTAATTTACATCAAGAAATGGTTGAGCCGAACATTTTATAATGTAATCAAATGCCTTCATTTGGTTGTACATGCAGATTTGTCCTAGGTTCTAGAAATTAACTTAAAAATAATTCAATAGCTATGAAGATGAGCTACAGCAATTTTATTACATCACTTACCCAAACTCAGTCTTATGCCTCTATTGTCCTTATCTACAATACCTTCCTTCTGAGAAATGACCTTGCTTCTCTTAGAAAAGCCTAACTCTTTCCTTTGAGCCTAAGGAATAATTAACAGAATATAAAAGGCTTCCTTGTTGAAGTAAGAGCTTCAACCCTGAAAAAATATTACAGCAAGTAAGTACATACTTTTTAAAAAGTTGAAAATAAGATTTACTTTCCACCCATATTATTATTAATCATTCCAATTATCTTAGCATCTAGATTTATTAATAAACATTTGCTTCAATCTTCAAGAGCAGTTGGTATTACTAAGTATCAATCAAAGATTCTTCAGAAGTTTAAAAATGCATTTTATTTTTCAGCAAAGATGTCAAGGAAGTTAAGCTTGCCTACTGACCTAAAGCCTGACTTAGGTAAGTAAAATAAATAAAAATCCATAGTAGTTAAACTCCCTTTAATGGGAAGACAAGGAAATCAGAAAATTTAAAATTACCATAAATTACATTTTCATAAGTCAAGTTTAAAATGACTAAGATATTAAAGAATTAATGGCCTTTAAAAACCATCAGTAAATTTTGAAAGATAATTATGAAATCAAGTAAAATAGAATAATACATTTCCTTAGCCCTGTCATACTTTATATCTAAACAAAATTTAGTGTAAGATTAAGATTTGTGCAATTTCAGATTAATTTCTGTTAAAAGTTGTTACATCACATTTAACCACCTGAAAACTTAATTTGAATTCTACAATTTCTAAATTTTATAAGAATTTAATATTTTCAAAATAAATCATAAGTTTTTTGTATTATAATAACTCTCATATGAAGAACGTTTTGTTGATAATAAGTTGGGAAATCTATCTTCTTCTAGAGCACTTTCTATGCAGCTAGTCCATTAGGAAAGCAGAGTGAAAATTCCTTTTGCTTTATATGCACTTAAAAATAGCTCCCTGATTTCCCACAGTAGGGACAAATAAGATTTCAATAAAGATAAAAGTAAGATTTTATGTAGTAAATATAAAGCATGGTTTCTTTTTAAACACATTTTTTAATTTCAGAAATTTGTATTGCCTTTAATTGAATAAGTATGACTGTATAAGGATGGTCTCACCCATCTTTGTCGTGGAAATAACTAGGTTTTTCTCCTTTAAATTTGCTCATCCATCTCATCTTCTCACTATTCTCTAGATTCCTTGACTATCTTTTCATGCATAATACAAACTTAGGTATTGGTCAGTTTTACCATACTAATTTAACATTTTCAAATCATAGTCTTATATCAGTTACACTGATAGGAAGTATGTGATTATGAGTGAGTGGGCATAGATCTTCTGCTGTTGTTAGTAAAGGGTTCCATGCCTGAACATAGGAAAAACAATTTAGTAGAAACCTGTAGTATCACTGATGTTTAGGGAAACATGAATTAATCCTAGAATGTATGCTAACATATGTTTTGAGAAGGGCACAGTTCCCTTCACTATAAAAATGAAGGATGTAATTTGAACCCAATTGTATCTGAGGCTTATAATATACTTTTTTTTTCAACAAGAGGATCCAGAGTTTTCATCAGACTCTCAAAGAGGTCCATGATTTCAATAACATGAAATACCACTAGTTAAAATATCTTTTAGTTTCTTAAAAACTGAGAGAAGACATGTGCAAATACTTTTAAATAAGTAAAAATATCATAGTCAATTATTTTTGGAACATTGTTATAACTTATGTAAATAAGTTAATCAAAGTGTTTACTCCATACTTTTTATAAGTCATTTTAGTTTGTTTTAGCTTGTGTGCCCATATATTTAAATTCCCTAAGCCAATTATAATTTTGGTTGATATATGCCTTGAAACAGTCTCCACGTTGCCTAGGTAATTTCCCTTCAAGTCATTGTGCTGCTGAACTGTTTTTTGGTAAAGATTCTTAGCTGGTAATTGTTTACATTAGCTGGGGAGTCATTGAGGGAAAACAGCTGTAATTGATAGGCTCAAGCTACCAGATATTGCTGAAGCAGCCCAGGCTGTGGAATGTCCTGCAGCTCTGGAAGCTTCTGTGAGTAGAATCCACTTTGGCTTATGGGGAAATTGTGTGACACTACACTTTCACTATAGCCTCATCACTCCAGATTCCCTGGCCCACAACTCAGGAACCATGCGTGATATTGTTAGAGTTCTGATGTCACTTTCAAGTGTCAGCCACAGGAGGCAAAACATCAAATTGTTATATACCTTAATTATGAATTCGTTTTTGTCCTAATTTTTACTCTGACCAAATTCACCTCTTGGCTTTATGTTTTGATTTGGGGATATAGATTTTTTTTTTTTTTTGCATTAGGCTCTGTGGGGAGGAGAGGATGCTATGTATAAGTAATGTTCTGGGCATCTGGAGAAACATGAGAGAAACAATTTTATGACATGGTTGTTATCAGCTAGCCCTGGGTCAAGATGTTAAAGACAAACATTATCCGAGTTTAGATCTGCCAGAAAGACCACGTCATCAAGGTGTTTTGTGTCTATGTGTGTGTCTAAAGACTGAACTTTAATACTCAATAGTAATCAAATCTTCCACTTGTATACTGTTGGTGATATAACTAACCCATATCTATCTGGAGTTGTCTAGTAGAAAGTTTTGGACATGGGCACAAATCCGAACTCTTCCATTAACTAGCTTTGTCATGCTGGGCAAGTCATTTAATCTGTCTGAACCTCTGTTTTATTATTTGTTAAATTGTGATGATAATACTTTTCAGGGTGGTTATGTGGATTCAATAAAATGTAAAGTGCCATGATGACATATAGCACCTGGTAGCCTTGTTTACTGGTAGTTATTTTCATTTCTGCTCTTGTTACTAAAATTTAAATTTATATTCCATGTGTTTATCTTGCCCAGTTTCTAAAATTCAAGCCACAAAGACTCACAACATGTAACTTAATAGCAGTCAGAAGATGTTGTAATTTATAAACTGCTAGAAATTCTTATATCCAAACGTTCTAGGCAGATCAAATAAACAGTCTAATTCTGTAAGTTCAAAGTTGATCCTGATTCACGTTGTTTTCCTGTTTGATCTAGCCTTAGGAATTCCTTTGGTAATCTAATTTTTAAAGTGAAATCATAATACATGTGAATTTGTAGTTTATGAAATTTATATGGTTAGTTTATTAATTAAAACACTGTTTATTTGGCCTACAAATTAACATTTGAATTATAGATTGTTGCAAATCATTATGTAATTTTAATAAATATCAATAAGGGTTTTCACATAGCTTAATTTACATTGAAATTTATATTATCAAATTTTCTTGTATCATTGATTTCCAATTTTATCACTGGATCACAACTGAAAATATATGTTCATTCATTTTGTATGTATATTTTCATTAAAGCAACAAATTAAATACTTTTATTATTGCAAAATAAATTTAAATTTTGTTATTTTATCAAAATAACTTTAGAAACTATTAAGAGTTAACATTTGAATCAGTATTATATTACAAATTCCCAATGAGCTATTGTTTATGGAAAGTTGTTTCATTTACAGTAAGTAGTTATTTTCTACTGTGTCATAGTCTGTAACAGGAAATATAATCTCAGGCAAAAGAAAGACATTTTTAGAAACTATATTTAGAAATGTCCTATACTGTTGTCATTACTAGTAGCTTTATTGTTTTCAGAGGCTAGCCATAATCAAAATTGTTGAATATCATTATTATTTGGGGGAATATTTTTTAATATGTGAATCTAAATTTGATTATAAAAAGCTCTTGGCATAAATAGGATTCAATGATACCTTTTTTTATTTCATAAAATACAACTTAGAAGACCAACATTTTTTTTTTCATGACATGATGAAGTCATTTACTTCATGATAGTATTGAAAGCATGTGATTTGAGGAATGGTTTATTATATGTAGGCACTACTAGAAATTTTAACATATCCCAGTGTGCAGCAGAAATGCATTGGTTTAGATATTTTCAACTATAGATGTGTGTTCAGCAAGTATTTATTATTTTCATATGCAAGATATCAAAACGTCACAGCCCTTACTTATATCAGGAAACTTACGGTCACTTTAGAGTGAGGCCTGAGATAAGTCAGAAGTAACTACAGAAAAATGTACTATTAGTGCCACAGAAGAGATAAAAAGATACTGAGATTCAGAAGGAAAACTTTATGGTTTTAAGAATCAGGATAAACTTCATGAAGATTATGTTACCTGAGAAGGAGAATAAGCACAATCTTGAAAGGTAAAGAAATGGTGAGGCAAGGGCACTATCACCAGCAAAAGTGTAAAAGTGAGTGCAGAGTGTGTTTGGAGAACACTGAATGGCTCCGTTTGTTTCCCACAGTAACCTGGAGCAGGGCAGCATTGGAAGATAGGGCTGGGAGGGTAGGTTGGAGGTATTTTGTGGAGAGTCTTAAAAACTTGAATAAGATTATAGGTGTGATCAGTAAAGAGGAACCACCCAAGATTTTAAAAATAGAAATGATAGAATTGCAACTGTACATTCATATTATTTAATTGGATTGTGTTGGAACAGTGATAGTGAAGGTGAGGAGATTATTGGAAATTGTGCAGTAGTCTATATGAATGATCATGAAGGCCTGAACTTCAGGTAATGGGAGTTGATTGATTATAGAAAGAGTAAAAACAACATTGGAATAAAAACAACATAGGAGTTAGCATCCCAGGGGTAAATAGGTAAAGTGATAGGGAAGAACCAAAACTGCAACTCATGTAAGTGTTGTTCCCTATGAAGACTGGTGTGTCGTTAATACAAAGAATTTAGAGCTTTAGGGAAGTGATGTGTTTTGATTTTGCATAGTGAGACATAGAAAAAAATCCCCATAAGCATTTCAAAATGCATTTCCTAGAAATAAGAGGCCAGGGCTTGAGACAGACGAGATTGGTCACAAAGAAGAAGGTGGCTAAAGACAAGAGAGGGTATATTAGTATAATTTACAAGTATCCCTGTCATTACAGACAGCTGGGAACAGGGAATATACCTGATACCAGTTACACATTGTGATGAAAAATGCGTTAGATGAATGTGAAGTACATTTAAAATGGCATTCAAGAAAAATGAAAGCCAAATTTTATGCGTTAAAGGCTTTCATTGGGACAGATTTGGGGGAAAATGCATCATATAATAAATTTGAAGGTAGAATTAGAGTACTTCTAAATGTATTTTTAAATGTAGAAAATTAAAAATACCGCCCTAGCCGGTTTGGCTCAGTGGATAGAGCGTTGGCCTGCGGAAGGAAGGGTCCCAGGTTCAATTCCAGTCAAGGGCACATGCCAGGGACTGCAGGCTCATCCCCAGTGGGGAGCGTGCAGGAGGCAGCCGATCAGTGATTCTCAATGAACTGTGGGGTTTGTCCATTTGCCATTTTATATTTGAGCAAATAAAAAAAAATTAGTAGCATAAAAGTAAATAGTTTTTCTTTTCAGTTAAAATATTAAAATTAAATGTGTTGTTTTTTTGCAGATTAACTATTTAGCCGAATTTATACCAAATAAAAAATGTGCCATTTTATAATTTGAGCACTCTCACATTTCAAATCACTTTAGATGTGAAAGACAATTCCTTCAGCCGGTCCCGGAGTTCGAGTGTAACCAGCATTGATAAGGAATCTCGAGAAGCCATCTCTGCTCTCCATTTCTGTGAGACTTTCACTCGAAAGGCAGACTCGTCTCCTTCCCCCTGCTTATGGGTTGGTACTACCTTGGGGACAGTGCTTGTCATTGCACTGAACCTCCCCCCAGGAGGAGAGCAAAGACTTCTTCAGCCAGTAATTGTGTCTCCAAGTGGTAAGTCTGTTCCAGTGCTGCACTGATATTGAACATTTGATTTACTATGATATAAATGATGCCTTTGTTTTTCATTTTTGAATGAATCTAATAATTCTAAAATATAAACTAAATGGGGATAGTTACAGTCTTATGCTTTTAATAAAGGAATACATGGAATAAGATTGAAGACTATCATTTAATACTACAGCTGTTCAGGTTTTGTACTTTTTAAACTCTAGGATCTTATCTAAAATTATTTCTAGCTAAGAAAATGGGGAGCCCGGCCAGGTTGGTTCAGTGTTTGAGTGTCAGCCCAGCAACCAAGAGGTCACCTGTTTGATTCCTGGTCAGGGCACATGCCCGGGTTGCGGGCTCCATCCCCTATGGGGGCGGGGTGGGGGGGGGCATGATGTTTCTTTCTCGCTCTCCCTTCCTCTCTGAAAAGAAAATTGGGGGGGGGGGGCCTTATTCTGACACATCCAGAATATTTCAAAATATATGTTCTATAAGCAAAAGGTTGTTACATATTTAGGAGAAAAATATTATATAAACATTTTTAGATATTATAAATCTATTTTTTAATATATTTTTATTGATTTCAGAGAGGTAGGAAGAGAAAGGGAGAGATAGAAACATCAGTGATGAGAGAGAATCATTGATTGGCTACCTCCTGCATGCCCCCTACTGGGGATTGAGCCTACAACCATGGCATGTGTCCTGACCTAGAATCAAACCGTGACCTCCTGGTTCATAGGTCCATACTCAACCACTGAGCCATGCTAGCCAGGCATAAATCTGACTATTTTTAACCTCTAAGTATAAAGTTTTAAAGTAGGTTATTTTTCTTCTTTAAAGTATTAGGGAAATGTGACTTAATAGCAAATTTTAAGAAGAAAAAAATGTAGTCTTTATATATTAAAAATGAGATTAAATGTTACCAAATGTATGTGGAATCTGACAGGTCTGCAAATAACAGAATTCTGGTTTCCATTGCTAGTTAATGATGATCTAGATAGGAAAAAATGTGATTGTGCTCTTATCTCTTATTTATAGGGTGGACTTTAATAATATTTGGAATTTAGAATTAAAATGTAATTATGTATTAATGTTCATTTTCGAACTATCTTTACATTAAAGGAAGTTTGATTTAGTTATTCAGCTCAATAAATATTTGAGTGTATACTACTCTATGCCTAGTTAGAAAAGGTTACATAATGATAATATTCTTGCTAATCTCATTTTTATTAGTAAGCAACAGCTAAGTGTATAGGAAAAAAAATTAAGAGATGAAAATAAAAATGTTAATAGTAATTATCACTGAATAGTGGGATTGTGGGTAATTTTTATTTTCTTTTTACTGATTAGTCTAAATTTTCTACAACAAGCATGCATTAGTTTATAATAAGATATAAATATTCCCATATGTATTATAAACAATTCCAAAATTAGCACACTGTTTAAAATAGTTAAATTGTCTACTTGCCAAATCTGGACTACAGACTAAGATTACCAGATTTAGCAAATAAAATGCAGGATGCCCATTTAAATTTGAATTTCAGATAACCAAAACTTTTTAATATAAGTATGCCCCATGCAGAATTTGGAAATATAATGCAGTATTTGGGACATACTTATACTAAAAGTACTCATTATGTATCTGAAATTCAAATTTAATTAGGTATTCTCCAAAATGGGACTTTACATAACTTTAACAAGTCATAGCTCAATTTTGAAAATGAAATGTGTTTTAATAAACACTGCCTTTATAACTATTCAAAATGTGTGTATACATTTTTTTGGGATACTATATATGTGTATATATAGTATATGTAAAGAAGAAAGGAAACAATATTTTATAAGGATTTTGTGAAAAATTTTTTATGAAAATTTTGTATAAATATAAAGTAATATAATATGAAAAATCTTTTAAAATAAGAACTGGAATGCTAAGTCAATTCAACACCTTCCCTTCCATTGGTTTCTAAATCATGAATATCAATGCTATCTTTTAGCTTACTTAGGAATGGGCATAAAGCACATTTTCATTTCCAAGTATATAGGGGAAAGGGAGTCCCATTAATTAAAACAAGTAAAGAAATATTATTCCTAAATTAAGACTATAATTGACAAAAATAATACCTTGAATGTATTTGACATTTACTGCTAAATAGTTTTAAAGGTAATTCTGATTTTGTGAAGTAATGTTTAGAAATATGTGCAAAATTTTTTCTCATTGGCTCTGTCGATTACCACTGTCTATTCATAATGCAATATGAGCAACATACAGAATTTTCAGTTGTCTAGTAGTCATATAAAAAAGTGGAAAACAGGTGAAATTAATTTTAATGACATCTTATATAATTCTATATATCCAACATATTTTCATTTCAGCATGTAATCAGTATTTTTAATTATAGAGATATTTTACTTTTAATTTGTTTTTGTACTAAGACTTCAAATTGGCATGTATTTTACACTCACAGCATGCCATCATTTGGACATGCCACATTTTAAGTGCCCTATAGCTGCATGTGGCTAGTAGCTGCCACATTGGACAGTGTAGCTCTACATGCCATCTACTTGCTCTCACATTCATTGGTAGTATATTTGTCAGGTATGAGAGAAGACATAGGTCCAGACATCCCAACATTTATCTGTTTGGTGGCACTTATCTGTTTGGGGCATGTAATATTGATATCTTTTCCAGATTCAAATATCTTAATTTTGGATCCAATTTCAGTTTAGTATCTATAATAATAAAAGCATGATATGCTAATTAGACTGGACGTCCTTCCAGACGTCCTTCCTTGCAGACAAAGCCGCAGCGGACGGGGGCCAAGGCAGAGGTGGCAGAGGCCCCTGGCCGCAGCGGCAGCGGGTGGTGGCCGGGGCCAAGGCCCTTGCATGAATTTCGTGCATCGGGCCTCTAGTATATTCTATATGTTTAGTGTCTATTATGTATCAGTGTTGGAATAAAACATATTTACTGTGTGGATTGAAATATTTGTTATCTACTAAAATTATGTATTTTAGGTACTATATTGAGGTTAAAAGGAGGGATCCTGAGAATGGCATTCCTGGACACCACAGGTTGCTTAGTGCCACCTGCCTATGAATCCTGGAGAGAACACAACGTTCCTGAAGAAAAAGATGAAAAGGAGAAATTGAAAAAAAAGCGGCCAGTCTCTGTATCCCCTTCCTCCTCTCAGGAAATTAGTGAAAACCAGTATGCAGTGATATGTTCTGAAAAGCAAGCAAAAGTAATCTCACTGCCAACTCAGAACTGTGCTTATAAGCAAAACATTACAGAGACCTCGTTTGTTCTTCGGGGAGATATTGTGGCATTGAGTAACAGTATCTGCCTTGCCTGCTTCTGTGCCAACGGACATATTATGACTTTTAGGTAGGAGTTAGGTTATTTTTTAAACACACCATATTTTCTCTCTCTAAAGATAGCATTACAGAATGATATTCAGTGTGAAAGAAATTATTTTATTTATTTACCAGTACAGTCTTATAAACTGAGAATTTAATTCCATTCAGTTAATAGTGAGCAAGTATATGAGGAATACAAATCAGTTTTGTTTTATCTCCCACTCAAGTGCACTAAATCATAAGGTTTATAGTGTCCCTGCCACTTTTTCCTTCTATAATACTTTGTTTAAAACTAAAACCTAACCTTGTTTATTATTAACTAGTTTTTAATTTTTTTCTCAAGTTTGCCAAGTTTAAGGCCTCTATTGGATGTGTATTACTTGCCCCTTACCAATATGCGGATAGCCAGAACGTTCTGCTTCACCAACAATGGACAAGCATTATATCTTGTTTCACCTACAGAAATCCAGAGGCTCACTTATAGCCAAGAGACCTGTGAAAATCTTCAGGTAAGTAACAAAAATATTACTATAGTTTCTTCCAGGGTGAAATATTCTCTAAGGGCCTTTATAATAGCCCTTACACTCACAGGAGTGTACATATGAGCCTGTGTGGGAACATCCAAAGCCTTTATCAAGACTTTGAGAGCACATGTGATCAAGTGTCTTCATCAGGCTCTTGTTATAAGAGGGACTTCATTTCATTGATCCATATTTTTTCTCTCCTGTGATGGCAAAGATATATATGAAATGTTACATACATTTTAAGTCTACTCTCTAAATAGGATAAATATCTATTATTCACATGTACCAAAAAAAAGTTCTTTTTAAAGAGGTATTGCTAATGTGAAAATAATTCTATTTTAGGGCAAATTGTGTCATCCCTTCTCTGTAGTTGCAAGGATGTGAAAAATAAGGTTTGATAGTTTTCCTCTGAATATTGTTGCTGATCTATAGGGTGTCCCCCAAAAATGTATACACACTTTGAATAATTACAAAGGCAGTGTTTATTAAAATATATTTCATTTTCAAAATGTAATAGAAACCAGCTATTAAAGTGTATATACATTTTTTGGGGACACCCTGTAGTGAGAGACTACAAACAAATTCTTTAAATATAAACCATGTCTTTTTCAATTAAATTAAGTTCCTGTGTGCTTGCTTATATATTAGAAATGATTATTTTAGTTTCATCATTTAAAATATAATTGCTCTTGAAATACTGAGCTACAATATTAATTGATATTTGATATTTAGGAAAAAAACATTTATCGTGAAAGTTTTTGCAATTAATTAGCCCTATTTTACTTGTTGGTAAATTGGAATTTGTAGCTTATTTTTAGAACATGAGCTTTAGAGTCAAGAAAACTGAATCTAAGTCGCAGCCTTGCTAATTACTGAATTATGTGACCTTAGACAAGTAACTTAACTGGCTCTGAGTTTCATCATCTTTAAAATTAGGATAAAAATAATATCAATCTGCACAGCAAAAGAAACTGCCAGCAAAACAAAAAGGCAACCAACCAAATGGGAAATGAAATGTGCAAACAACAGCTCCTACAAAGGGTTAATATCCAAACTAAAGAACTCGTACAACTCAACACCAAACAAATAATCCAATTAAAAAATGTGCAGAGGACCTGACCGGACACTTCTCCCAAAAAGAAATACAAATGTTCAACAGATATATAGAAAGATGCTCAACTTCACTAGCTATTATGGAAATGCAAATCAATACTACAATGAGATACCACCTGTTAGAATGGCTATTATCAACAAGACAAGTAATAAGTGTTGGAGAGGTTGTGGAGAAAAGGGAACTCTTGTTCACTGCTTGTGGGAATGTAAACTTGTACAGTCACTGTGGAAAACAGTTCGGTGGTTCCTCAAAAAATTAGAATTAGAGTTACCATATGACCCATCAATCCCCCTCTTCTGGGTATTTACCCAGAAAACTTAAAAACACTTATTCACAAGATATATGCACCCCTACATTCATTGCAGCATTATTCAAGGTGGCCAAGACATGGACACAACCATAGTGTCCTTTGATAGGCGATTGGATAAAGAAGATGTGGTGCATATATACTATGGAATAGTACTCAATCTTAAGGAAAGATGAAATACTTCCATTTGTGACAGTATGGATCGACCTTGAGAATATTATGCTGAGCGAAATAAGTCAGTTAGAAAAAGCTAAATACCATATGATTTCACTCAGAAAGAAACTCTAAAAAAAATAAATACTTTAGCTCCAGCTATAATAATGTAATACCAGAGTACAGCAGGACTGGTACCAGGAACCAATACTGTGTTTGTTTTTTCTCTTCATTGCAATCCCACAGCCTCACTATACTTTTATTTTGCTTCTGGAGCTTTTCAAAGCTGCCTCGTAAATAATGTTGTTACTACCCTTCTCTTACAGAAACTCCTCTTCCTCTGTGTTATCTACAAAGTCAGTAACATGTTAGTAACCTTTGTCTCTGGCTTTTGCCATTTCTGTGCTCAGAAGAACATTGATAGTAATTCCAAAAACTGACAATATAGGAAGCTTTCCCATCTCCCAGCCATATTTCTGAAATTCCATGTGTGTGTTGGCATAATTCTCTTCCTAGCATATGTTTATAAAAAATAAGTTGGTGTATCTTTCTGAATTACTAATTTTCTGACTCAGCTGAAGGTAGTAATTCCAAAACTGCATTTCATCATCGTTACACTAGGCTTTTAACTTGTTAGTCGCTTTTCTTTTTTCTAATGGAAGAAAAACTAAGTATACAGTTACCAATTCTTAATTATAAAAGTTATGTGAAAATTTTGTCAAAGGTTGGAATCTTCCAGTTTAAGCAGGAATATCATCTTTGCTTGAAATATAAGGAAAGTAATCTAGCCAAAATAGCAAGTCAGTCTTAGTCAATTTAGTTTTAATAACTTACTGTTTGACTAAGTTGGTACGTATTGGGTCTGATCATTTGAAATGTGCTCTTGTTTTTAAATCTCAGCAGATAATGTTATAATATTAAGTTAAAGAGATTACAGTGATAATTTCGTGAAATGTAGTTTAGTTTCCCTGAAACTTTAACAATTACAATTTGTTTGGATTTTAAAGGAAATGTTGGGTGAACTCTTCACTCCTGTAGAAACACCTGAAGCACCAAACAGGGGATTCTTTAAAGGCTTATTTGGAGGTGGTGCACAGTCTCTTGATAGAGAAGAACTATGTAAGTTGATTTATTTAATTTGGGTAATATATCTTAAAGCATAAACATTCAAGCCATATAAATTTTTTTACATGTATGTATTATATTCACCTTTTTCGTCTTGGTCACAACAATTAACATATTCATGTTTTAGCAATATACATGAAATTATTTTCTGTTGCTCTAACCCAAACCAGGAACTATTTTACTCAGGGAACCAAAATCAGAATAGCTTCTGGTAGCTAAAATGAGTATTCACAACTTGATATGAATAATTTAGGAAGTATTCTTATTAAATGTGATCTTCATTATTATTTTAATTCTATAATTGACTTTAATTGATGACCTTAATTTTGAAAAAGTTTTAACTGAAACATTTATCTTACAAAATCTCCAGAACTATTCTTCTTAGGTTATTTAAAATAGCAAGATCTGATTTTTTTTACTGCCTTCCACATAATTGGGAACAAATTAGAAATTGGTCCTTGAGTGAACTAATGAATCAATGAATTTTTTATCATATCTTTCAAGTAGTAGGAACTACTATCTATCCTCAAATTTCATTTCTTTTATTCTCCTTTTTTTCCTAAAATATTTTAGAATTTTGCTTTTATGTTTAATTAGAAAGTCTGTAAGATTAAATACCAGTAAGTAGCAGTGCAGTGCAATTTTACATTTAAAAATTTACCAGATGAATGAGGATTAGTTCATTTTAAATTCATTTTTTTAAAAAAGAGGAAGACTCTACTTCAAGTCATTTAGGATTGCTAATTTAGAATAACCGTCTCACCAAGAATAATTATACAGATTTTAAAAACAATATTTTTTAAATTTTATTAAACATCAAAGAGCTAACAATAAAGTAAGGACAATATCCATGGAGAAGGATGTGAACCTAGAGTAGTAAGCTTGGAAACCTGAGGCCACTTTTACCCAGAAATATTTTGAGATCTGAAGTAGGAGGCTGAGAGTAAACTGTGTTAGGACTAGCATGGAGGGATCCCAGTGCTGACAAGGGTGGGACACTGATAAACAAATCTCCCTGTTTGCAAGGATGCCAAAGGACTGCACCTGAAGATTCAAGATGAACTGGAATTAAATCAGGTCCCCTAACCCCCCTCTCCCCCCCACACACACAGACACACACTTTTAGCCCAGCTTCAAATTGTCTGAGTGGCCAAAAACTTTCAACTTTAGTTAAGATTTTTACAGACTGATAAAGTCTCTAGCACCTGGCAGAAGCAAATGAGAATGGTCTGCTAAGGAAGGTGACATATCCAAGTCCTCAAATGAATTCTAGAAATAATTTTTCAAATATGTAGTCATAAATAACCAAGAGCCCTAGAAATCAGCACCATGATCAATAAAAAAAAAAATGAGAATCACAGGTACTTTAAATATTGGGATAATTAAATATTGACAGTGAAATAATTATGCATGTTATGTTCAAGAGGATAAGTATTATGCCTGAACAATTTATCAAGTAACTGAAAACTTTAAAAATCAATACAATAAATGTGTAAAAAACTCAAATGAAATTGGAGAACTGAAATATTAAGAAAAACAAAATTAAAAACTTAGCTGATGCATATAACCACAAATTAGACAAACCAAAGGAGAACTACATAAATTAAAGATTGGTCAAAATAAAGCATCCAGGTTGTAGCACAGAAAAACAAAAAGATGTGAAAAACAAAGGAGAAGATGAAAGAAATAGAAGTTGTAGGGGAAGATCTGACACATGTTTAGACCTCCTCAAGAAGTAAATAGGAAAGAATGTAAAGAATTATATTTAAAGAGATATACTTGGAAATTTTTCACACATTCAAGAAACCTAATGAATTCCAAGAAGGATATTTTGTTATAAATTCAAAACTTGTTATATCAAATGAACATATAGTATGTCAACGACAAAGAGAACATCTGTAAGATAGCTAAAGAAAAATAATAGATACCTTTTAACAAGCTGGAGACTAAGTTCTCAATTGTGAATGTTATTCTATACGTTGACAGAAGACTTAATCTAGAATTCTATACTCAAAGTATCCTTCAAGAATGAGACATTTTTAGATAAATGGACAGATAAATAAAGTAAACCTTGCCACCACACTCAGGGCAACTCTAAAAGATATACTTTAGAGAAAAAAATAATCCTTTATGGAATGTGATGAATACAGGAAACACTGCTTTGGAAAGAAAGTAATAAATACATAAATATTATTATATAAGATTTATAAAGTGTATATACACATACACATATAAATAAATAATATGACCCCAAAATTGCATGAAATCAAGGGAATTGGAAAGGGTGAGTAGATTTAAGTTGATCAAAGATCCCTGGATTTTTTTGAGAGACTTGTAAAAATTACCCATTGGCATTAATAAGAATGCATCTTATAATTTCTAGGAATTAGAGAATGATTATCTTTGGATGAGTGGGAGAGGACTATTATTCTGCCAACCACAATAGTATTAAAAACAATACCTTGAAGTAAATCTTAACAAAAGATGTACAGGACCTCCATGAGGAAAATAGAAAATTATAAAACTCTTGGGAAGTGAAAGACCAAAATAAATGGAGAGATACATCATGTTTATACAGTAGGAGATTCACTATATGACATCAGTTCTCCCAAAACTGACGTATGTATATATACATACATATATGCATGCATACATATATACATGCATATATATGTGTGTGTATATATACATATATGCACACTTCCCCCCCCCCCCAAGTAAAATTTTGTAAATGATTCTAAATTTTACATGGGAATTCAAAGGGTCTCACTACTTCTATTTAACATTGTACTAGAGACTTTAACCAGAGCATTAGGCAAGAAAAGGAAATAAAAGGTATGAAGATTTGAGTGAAAGAAGTATAACTATCTCTATTCACAAATGACATGTTCTTGCATATAGAAAATCTTCAGGGATACATGCACAAAAAAATTATACCTAATATACAAGTTTAGTAAGATTGCAGGATACAGATCAACATAATAAATTGCATTTGTATATGCTAGCAGTAAACCAAAAATTAAATTAAGAAGACAATTTTATTTTTAATAACATCAAAAGATAAAATACTTAGGAATAATTTAGCAAAAGAAGTACGAAACAGCCCTGGCTGCTATGGCTCAGTTGGTTGGACATAGTCCCATGCACTGAAAAGTTGCCAATTTGATTCCCAGTCAGGGCATATGCCCATGTTGCAGGCTCAATCCCCAGTAGGGGGTGTGCAGGAGACAGCGATTAGTAATTCTCTCTCATCATTGATGTTTCTATCTCTCTCTTCCTCTTTCTTCCTCTCTGAAATCAATAAAAATCCTATCTAATAAAAGACAAAAAGGGTAATTAACCATTCCTCCGCTATGCTTCCCATTGGCTAATCAGGGCGATATGCAAATTAACTGCCAACCAAGATGGTGGCCGGCAGCCACGCAGCTGAAGTGAGCAGGAGGTTTGCTTGCTCCAGTGATGGAGGAAGCCAAGGTTCCCCGCCTGCCGCGGCCCAGCTCTGAGCTCTGAAAGCAACTAAGTTTCAATTATAGAAGCTAAACAAATCCCAGATACCTGGTTTCAGCAGGCCGTGGCCTCAGAGCAGTGACAGCAACAAAGTTTCAATTATAGAAGATAAATAAATCCCAGAATAAAAAAAAAAAGAAAAAAAGGAGAGGCTGGGAGCTTCAGTCGCTGGCCAGACTGAAAACAGCCCTCAGCCCCTCATCCAGGCTGGCCAGGCATCCCAGTGGGGACCCCCACCCTGAAGGGGGTGTGACCAGCTGCAAACAGCCATCAGCCCCTCACCCAGGCTGGCCAGGCACCCCAGCGGGACCCCCACCCTGATCCGGGACACCCTTCAGGGCAAACCAGCTGGCCCCCACCCATGCACCAGGCCTCTATCGTATATAGTAAAAGGGTAATATGCAAACTGACCCTAACAGCAGAAAGACTGGGAATGACTGGTCACTATGACACACACTGACCACCAGGGGGCAGACGCTCAATGCAGGAGCTGCCCTCTGGTGGTTCAGTGCGCTCCCACATGGGGGAGCTCTGCTCAGCCACAAGCCAGGCTGATGGCTGCCAGCACAGCGGTGGTTGTGGGAGCCTCTCCTACCTCCTCAGCAGCGCTAAGGATGTCCGACTGCAGCTTCGGTCTGCTCCCTGCTGGCAAGTGGACATCCCCCGAGGGCTGCCGGGCTGCCAGAGGGATGTCTGACTGCCAGCTTAGGCCCGATACCCCGGGGATCAGGTCTAAGCCAGCAGGTGGTCATCCCCCGAGGGGTCCCAGACTAGGAGAGGGCACAGGTTGGGCTGAGGGACCCCCCCCCCCGAGTGCACAAATTTTTGTGCACCAGGCCTCTAGTCCTATATAATAAAAGCCCAGCGACCATAACAGTATAATGACCAGAACAACCGGTAGACCAGTCACTATGATGCACACTGACCACCAGGGGCCCAGGCGTTCAACGAAGGAGGAGGGGGAGGTGGGTGCAGTGAGGCCTGGAGGTGCATGCTATGGCCCAGGGATCCCAGGAACCGCAAGCCCAGAGCTTGCTTTCCAATAAAAATAAATAAATTGGGGGAAAAAGCGGCTGATGCTGCAACCCTAGGAAGAACATCTCCAGGAGGGAAAGGCCTCCCCAGGCCCCACATGGCCTGGCTGGCACACTGCGGGCTCATAGGGACTCACCAGTGACATGCAGGAAGTGCAACCCCTCTGACTCCAAAGCCGGTCGCACTGACAGCTGCTCTCCATACAGCTCCACGGCAGAAGTAGCACTGTTGGACCACCTCAGCTCGGACTTACAGCTTCTGGCTTTCTGCCCGCCCCTTCCTACACTACATGTGCTTGGGGGCGTGGCATCGGCCTCCCTGGCCAATAGCGCCAGGTCAGCTCTGGCTTCCAGCTTCTGGCTTCCTGCCTGCCCCTTTGCATACTACCTGTGCTTAGGGGCATGGCTTCAGCCCCCCCAGCCAATAGTGCCACAGCACAGCCAGAGAGTGGCAAGACATAGCCACCAGCGCTGGTTGGGCATTGATTTGGTCATGTGACTGATGTCCATGTGCGGTTACACTGCATGTTTACATTTGTAGGGAAGCAGGGCAGCCTGCTCCTGCCGCCCGCGTCACCTTCTAGCCATCCGTGTCACCTTCTAGGCTAAGAGAGGCCTGCTGATCTTCGTGTTTCTCCTCCCATCCGGAATCAAAACCTCTTGGGGATGAATGATGTCAGCGATAGCCCCAACACATGCTTGGCGTCACTGTCACAGATATTCCCAGTCATTACAGCCTGTTCCTCACCCCGCAGTGCCCTGCTCCACCCACTTTCACTCCTCACCTGTCACCCCCTGAGGACCACCTTATGTTATCCTATCTGAAATGTGAGCAAGATCTCAAATGCCCCCCCCCCCCCCCCCGTCAGTAGCTCACTTGCCCTACCTTTCTTCCTCTAAAAACCTTGCATTTTAAAAATATATATTTGATTGATTTCGGAGAGGGAAATAGAGATAGAAACATCAATAATGATTGTGGTGGAT